CGGAACAGACGGGGGAGGGTACAGCTGGTTCTGCCTCTAGATAGGCAGAGGCAGCTGTCACTCACGCAGCTGGGCGGATCCAGACATAATTGTCGGGATCCGTTTCAGCTGCGGCGGCTCAGTATACCGCGAGCTGTAGCTCGCGGTATACTGAGCTTAGGGTGACAGGAGGACGCTAGTTTGTTCCCTCCCGTTACCCTAAGGAGAAGTATGAGGAAAAGCCCTAACCCCATAGTTCTCCTTTAAAATCTTACCTCCACAGGGGATATGATGCCTTGAGGGAGCAACTGATCGAAAGCAACATATAGAACCACCCACTTTTATCTGGAACACGGCACATTGGAAGGTATGTAACTCGTTTGTATCCCTGCACATGACACTCTGGACCCAGAGATCTGAAATTTCCCAGGACCAGATGGTTGCAAAGGCTGACAGGCTGTGAGGAGGGCTTGGTCCCAAGCTCTGTTTTTTTCCAGCAAAATGTAATGCCCAGTTTAGACTTGGAGCCCAAGGCCTGAAAGAGACAAAAAGGGTCTTTTCTTAGCTTCCAAATTTTGAGTTTTTCCCGTGGGTGGCCTAGCCTTCTTCTAGCGAAGAAGAGTACTCTCACCCACTGTGATTTATTTGATGCACGTATCTAGGGAAGTGTCAAAAAAATGCCTTTAACCCCTTTTGTGACTGACTCATGGGGGGGGCTTGTAAGCCCCCCCATGTGATAGCAGTCAAAGTAAAGTAAAAAAAAAAGTTTTTTAAATGAAATTTAAATAAAATAAATCTAATAATAAAAAAAATGTAAAAGTCCCCCGCCCCGTAAACACGCGTACGCCTACGTATGAAAACGACAAACGCGCTACACATGTTGGGTATCGCCGCGCACGCCGGAGAGCAATAATTCTAGGGCCAGTACTTTGGGGTATCTCTAAATTGATGACCTGTGGGGGCTTTTAAAGCGTCTATGGACTTTTTGGGTTACTGGGGTTTTTTGCCGTTTTACAGATGCACGCAATTTGTAACCTGGGTATGTTGGGCATCGTTTTACTCGTTGTAACCTCATCTTTTATATTTCAGTAAAAAAATTGGTATTTTGTTGTGTTTTGGGGCATTTAATTACATTTTTCACTAAATATTGGGGTTTAATAAGGAGTTGCGCTAATATTGCGCAACATAAAAATTTGCAACTACCACCATTTTATTCTATAGGGTCTTGGCATTCAGAAAATATATAATGTTTGGGGGGTTTTTAAGTAATTTTCAGGCCTAAAATGTGGAATATAACATGGGTACAAAAAAAATGAAAAAAAGGCCTCAGTCATGAAGGGGTTAAGGGGCATTCTCTTAAGACTCTTCTTGCACAAGAGTTCCCTTGACCAGTACTTGAGTCAAAGAATCCAGCGCATATGAACATCTTGCACAGGGCTGCTAAGGTCTTGTTAAGGCAATGGTATTGCTCAATGTAGAATGCCCCTCTGAAGAAGCTAAGGAATTGAACCAAAAACTGCAAAAGACTAAACCATCTGTTTACAATAAACTATCAAATGTATGCCCGTTCATGAATGGAATGATTAGGGGTGTTCATACATTTTCTGTTGCATTCTCCTATGTTAATGTGTATTGTTTAATACAAAGAACTACCTATGTAGCTTGTTTTGTATACTACTTTGATATATAAAATCAAAATAAAAAAAGGACAGCAAGCATTAAAGTAGTGGAATATGATCACATAGGAAAGGAGAGTAAGCGTAGATGCAAACCTGGCAGAAATAGAGCTAGTGAGATATGATCACAGAGGAAGGGAGAACACGTTTACAGGGCATTAATAGGCTTGATCACATAGGGAAGGAAAGTGGATAAGCATGAAAGTATAGTGGAATATGATTACTTAAGAAAGAGCAGGTGTGGATGGTAGCAGTGCAAAATCATCATGGGAGGGAAGGAGAGTGGGCATGGGTGGTGGTAGTGGATGATGATCATAGGGGGGGGGAAGCAGATGTGGGTGGTGGGAGAAAATTACCATGGAAGGATAGAGAGTAGATGGAACTAATGGAAGATGATCAAGGAAGGAAGGGTAGGCATGGATTGAAGAATTGGAGTATGGAAGGAAGCAGAACAGTCGTGGATTGAAGTAGTGGAAGATCATCATAGTGGGCAAGGATGGAAGCATTGGTAGATGATCATGCAGAAAAGTGCAGGTGTGGGTGGTAGGAGTGGAGGATGATCATGGAGGGAAGGAAAGCAGGCAAGGATGGAAGCAGTGATCATGTAGAGAAGACTGGGTGTGGAAGATGGAGGGAAGAGAGCAGAAGTGGATGAAAGTAGTGGAAGATAATCATGGACTATGTAGAACATGATCATAAAGGGATGCTTTTGAATCATTTCCACCAAAGGCATTGAAAATCAGGACAAACTGTTTGCAAAAACACAACTGATGAACATTTTTAATAACTTGACATTTTAAAATTTTACATATGCCATTTCAGCAGAGAACAAAACATTTTACAATAAAGAACCAAAATGACAATGATAAAAAAATATACAATTTAAGGCTGGACACCACCATTCTGATCAGAAGTGAAACATCTGTATAATCTGGATGGAGACTGGAGACACAATCCTAAGATGGCCACACACCTTACAGTTATCTGCAGATTTTTCTATGGTCAGATGGAAAAAGTGCAACAGATTCCTCCATCTACACTAAACTGTGTGTGTGGAGGAATCTGCCACTGGGCCAGTATCTTGCTGGTCGGCCACGCTGGCTCTCAAAATACCTGAAAAAGCTGACTGGATGCAGGCATTGTACAGGTACTATTTAGCATAGATGGGAGGAATCTGTTGCACATTTGCCATCTGACCATAGAAAATCTGCAGATAAACTATTAGGTGTATGGCCAGCTTTAGAAAATGGAAATGGACAAATGCATGAATACAAAGGGGTTTTGTCTGAACACTAAAGCAATTTTTTATTACACCGACTGTGCATAAGGCCCTTTCAGTAAAGTCAGTAATTAAATGGGTCATAGTGCTGATTTATTTACGATAAGTGCAGCCAAAAATGTATGCAACTGTTTCTTAGTGATACCATAGCATGTAGAAAACAGATGACATTTGTCAAACTTTATGAAATGCCAACATCTGGTATATGAAAAACAAAGTTGCTTACAAAGGCTGTGCAGTGATGATGGCTTAAGAGCAGAACAGCCCAAAGACCAACAAGATTTCACTTTACTATAGTCAAATTAGCAGATGGCTAAATAGCACCTACAGGTTACTGCTCTCTGCACACCACCATACCCAAGACTGTAGAATACATATAAAATGAAACTACAGAACATTACAGAAGGCACACAAATTAATGTATCTGTCCTCTGAATGGGAATATTGGGGAAGGTAAAAAAAAAACAAAAAACAAAAAAAAAAAAAAAAACTACAATACTCAGGACATAACTTAAACAACTCTACTTAGCAAAAGTCACTTGAGCTATTAAAGAAAGAATCTGAAAAGAAGAAGATCTACTAAAGTCACTAGCATGGAAGGTAAACTGTGGTCTTTTTGATTGTACGTGAACCATATGCCTACATTTACTGAGGGACATTCGTTCAGTATTGCAGGTCGAGTAAGTTACATGCACTGCTCACAGGTATTACCCCTTTCAAAATTGTGATTGTTCTTTGCTAATTTTTTTATGTTTACTAAGTGTTTGAAAACAGCAGTAGTTTAACTATATGCACAAAGAATGAAAGGAAACCTGTGATGAAAGAAATAGGACAGTGTTCATTGATGACCCTATTCTAAAATATATGCATTGCCTGGTTGTCTTTAGCTTTATTAGTTTGAATGACCTATTTAGAAACAAGTGCAAGCAGAGTCAGAACTTCAATCTTCCAGGTTTGCTATACAAAAAAAAAAAAAAAAAAGTACTGAAGCTATTGGGGCACCTTGGCAACCGAGCAAGTAAAATATTCAGTAGAGGTGGTCAGCGATGGCAGTCCACAAAGCTCTCTCAACACAGATCTCCTGTAACTCTTTCGCTGTTAGAGCGGTTTTTTTTGCACACATGCCAACAAGCCCTCTATGCTTGCTAGCTTAGTGGTGACAGGTTCTCTCCAAGGACATATTAGGGGTCCATTAGACCCCTAATGTGACCTTTGCAGCCGTGCCGGATTAGCTTCATCCCCGTCCACAGCGGCCGGGGCATGACAGTTCAGAACCCAGAAGTGAGGAAATCCTTATTGCTTCCAGGTATTTTAAAATTTGACATGACCATATTTACTTACATTACCACTTGAATAGTTTTTACTGGAGTAACATATAACAAAAGTATTTAAAATGGGCTTATAATAAAGTTTTACCAAAATTATGCCACTTTTTCAAAAAGACTTGAAAAGCATTTCCCCAAACTACCAGAGCCCCTTTGTAATACAGGAGTTAAAAAAATAAATAAATAAAACGAAATGGAGCCCTGAAATGTGCTGCCAAACCTTGCCTTACAACAGACCTATCTCCTACAAACACCGAGACAGCCATTTTGCGAGTGGAGTCAATGTTTGCAATTTCACAACAAACCTGTTCAATAGTGGACTTGTTGAGGTAGGGATGTTCTGTAACCGATTTGTGGGTGGCTTGCCTTAAAGGATAATTGTACTTTTGTAGAGTTATCATTTACGGCTTCGTAAATAACATGGTTAGCTACCACAACTGTCCCAATTATGAATATAACCCAAGCAACAATTAAAACAAACAAAAAAAAGGTGCTGGTGTAGGATTATAGCATATGTATTATATATGCCAAAAAACAACAACACCTTATGAAGATTTACAGGGTTATTCACAAAAGGGTGACGAGTTTGGAGAAGTGAACAATCTAGGGCAAAATAGCCAATTTGGAAACATTCTCCAATTCATCTCACTTTCCAGTTCAGCTATGTTGTCCTAGATTGTTCACTTCTCCTGCCTTCTCCAGACTCTTCGCCCTTTTGTGAATAGCCCGATAAGTCATCGTTTCACATCATAAGCTTTAGCATTTTTACCAGCAAAAACATATAAGCCTTCTGTAGTTCTATTGCAGTAATGGAAGGTCAACTCTATTTTAAAATAACCTTTTATACAACTACAAGGCCAGAATGATTGACCTGTTATAATGTTGCCACAGTACTATAGGGGCATTACAACACATTGTAGCTGTCCGGTATTACAGTGCTCCAGGTGTGAAAGGTTGTGATAGTACTTCGTTACAGACTAAGGCTTTCATTATACATTACACTTTTGAATCCAGACTGAGGGGGAAATATTGGTTTAAACCTAAAAGCCAGCATATTTATCTCCAGAACAGTTTCAATCCCTTCACGGTGGAGAGAATTTCTCATGTTCACACAAGGCAATGATGGCCTATGTTCCTTTTAAGTTCAAAGGAAGAAGAAGAAAATTAAAAGAAAATAACTAAGGTTTGGGAGGAAGATTTCTGTGGACATGATGGTTAGTAGAGTGTTTCAGCATTACTGTTCCTGGGCCTCTTGATTTTTTCAATATTCTTGAAGATCATGTCATGTAATGTCACCTGAAAAAAAATAAATACACGTTACAAAAAGCCCAAACGGGACTCATCATAATGACAGGAAACATAATTCAGGAAGTGTTGGAGGCTGGATTTTATTTCCAGTTTCTCCTGCTGCTCTTCTAATTGGGAGAGGGGGTTGTTTTTTCATCCCCCATGGTGGTGTGGTGTCTTGGAGCTGACAATGGAAGAATTGTTCATGCCATCTTCAGGATATTTCAATAATAAAAAAGGTCAAGTTATTTTTTATGTATTTACTGGCTTTTTCCTGCCCAGGTCTTTAGCAGCTTCTTTTAGTCCACAGACCGCACTCCCATGAAAAAAGGGAAGATTTCTTCTGACCGGCAGTACCGTAGAGGAACATGGAGCCAGCTTCCCGTGCAATCAGCAGCGACTAATGACACGCCTCCCGGTTGGCCGGGAAGCCAGCTTCCGAGCCAATCAGGTCTATACTCGCCGTCCAGTTTCCCGATTGGCCGGGAAGCAGACACGATGCCGATTGGCTGGGAAGCCGGTTTCCCAGGCGATCACAATCCAGCCGGCTAACATGGAGCGGCTTCCCTGGCAATCAGGAAGCCGGGTAGCATGTCATTACTCGCTTCCCGATTGCCCAGGAAGCCTGCTCCATGAAGCACTGATAGCAAAATATCAGTACTTGATACCTAAAAACCGGTATTGGTGCATCCCTAGTTTTGATTAATATTTTTTTGTGTTGGGACAAGTAGATTGTCATGAGGGACAAATAGATTTGGCCCCCGCTCTAGCCCTTGAACAAGAGGAGAAGGAGAAGGAGGAGAAGAAGAAGAAGAGCCCTGAAATTAAAATAAATGAAGGGAAAACATGCAAATGCTTATTATTCTCTACTGCTGCAAGGTTACATTAAAAAGAGGTCTCTAAGTTTATAAGAGCTTTAACCTGCGGTCATCCATGACAAACTATTTTTTGGGGCAGACTTAGTACCCCTAATACATAGTAGCAAACAGGGCTACAGGCAGCTTGTATTAAAAAAAGAGATCTTAAAGAATACTTTTTTTTTTTTTATAAGGCAGTATTACAATATGAGATCATGTGGCTCAATTTGCTACAGAAAGCAAGACAACCCAACAGATAAAAGGTGTTAAGAGTAATAACTTCTAATTACATATTGGTTTCTCAGCTCAGATATGATTAGGCGTAAGCTGATATACTCCTTTTCATCTATTTCTGTCACAGTACGTCGATAATCTTCCTGCAAAGAAATAGAAATCAGATTCAAAACCATTAATATTCAAGCTTTACTGTATTATGGGTAAGTGAATACTAAGACATGTTATCGACACAACCTAAAACCACCAATGGCTTTTACATTAAACACCGTTAAAAAAAAAAAAAAAAAAACACAAAATGGAAACAGGACATAACCCCGTCAACATATTCAATCCTCTGATCTTTCATGTTACAACAGGAGCTCTCCGTTATATTGCAAAGTATAAGCTTAGTTTCCTGGCCAGGAGGATATCTTGTAAGATTCGAGGGTGTCACTATCCTAAACAATAAATAATCTAAACAAATTCTAATACTCACCACATGAGGATATTTTGCTATTTTAGAAACAAGTTTTGCTCGAGTGATATAATATCTAAAAGAAGAAAAGACAGGATAATGTAAGAAACATTGTTTTACATGTTCTGCTTACACAATTGTGATGTTAAGTGAATGAATCCCATGAACAAAAGGGTATTTCCATATGGTAAATTTCAATTGCAACACTGCACCACTAGTTTATCAAATAATGAAAACTATACGCCTAAACGTTCTCCCAAAAGGTCATCCACAACCACAATACTTCATCAGTGTTTACTCTGTCTCCAATAACTCCTCATGGAACAGGATGTACCTTCACATTGTCGGCTTTACTTTCTTTACTCTAACAGCCCTCTGCTCTTCTTGTCGTACCTCAGGTCTTCACAGGGAACCAAGCCACTTACTGAAAGTTCGCCACCCTCTATGTGCCACTTGCTTAAGGGAACTAAACTCTGCCCTTTAACAGACACATTTAACAAAAGGACTAGTCACCTGTGTGCAGCTGATATTTTACCCTTTACTGACTTAGCATACCTTGTTCTGCACGGTGTCTCTATGTGGAGGAACCCATCTTGGTAAAGGCAGGGCTTTGCTTCTTCAAGTCAAAGTCTCTAGCAAGAACAGTGAGCAGCACAGTAGTGACATTACCAAATCTCAGATCACAGCAATGTGTTAGATACAAATCGCAGCTATACATTATAAGGCTTTATGAACAGGAATGCCTAGGCACACTTACATGCCAGGAAGTTGCTATTTTTCAGGAGTACAGACATAACATTTATTTTGAAGCAAACTGCTTAAAATGTATTTTCACTTTTGCAGCCAAAATTAGGATCCTCCTTCCTACTATGTTTGTTATGCGTTCCTATTCACACAGCATAGCTCTACATCAGCTCTTTGAAAAAAATATTTCGTACATTTCAGATGTGTTGGAGTTGCAGAGCTTTGCACGCATTTCACTCAATTTCAGTAACAGGAAACTCCGAGCATCCTAATAGAAAGACTAAAGGTGACCATACACTGCAAGATTCTCGTACGAGAATCGCTGGAAATCCCGCGATCGTACAGTGTATGGAAGGCGTGCGACCGTTTCTAATGTACGGTCGCACGTCTTCCATCGAACAAGCAGGCTTGAAAACACGCCGAGAATCGTACGATTCTCGGCGGGTTAGTGGCCTGCTTGTTCGACAACTGGCGAACGGGCCGGTGTGCGCACACTGCCCGTTTGCAGTGATCAGAAGCCAGCCCCTCACTGCGGTCATCGGAAGCCCGCCCCTAAGCGGGGCGGGCTTTCGATGATCGCAAGTACGATCTGCCTGTCCAAGATGGGCAGATCGTACGAGCTTTTAATAAGCTTACGACCATCCCAAGACAAAAGTCTTGGGATGGTCGTAAGGTGTATGGGCACCTTTAGACAGACTGAGTTCCCCCTCATCAACATACAATAAGGGGAATTTATCAAAACTGGAGCAGCTGTGCATGGCAACCAATCAGCTTCTTTCTTCAGTTTATTCAGTTAAGATGTGAAAATGAGAGACGCCGATTGGTTGCCTTGCACAGCTACTCCAGTAATTGTCTGATCCAGTTTTTGATAATTTCTCTCTCAATGTCTTCAGCGCTTTAACCCTTTGTTAAGACACAGTCCTGCTCATCTAGTTTACAAGTGATTACAAATCAGTCAGCACAGTACAGACAGGGTTACTTATGTGAAACAAAAAATTCCCCCCCCAACCCCCCAGACAGTGAAAACTAAGCAGGGTCAAAAACAACTAGGGAAAAAAAAAAGTAAGTTATATTGTGTGAAATAGGTGTTATCCCAATTTGGCTGAAAACATGGAAATACACTTTAACCACTTGATGACCAATGTATTAAACCCTTCCTGCCCAGGCCATTTTTCAGTATTCAGCACCGAGATACTTTGACATTTCTTCTGTCATACAACGCTGTACTGAAATGCATTTTATACCTGATGCATTTTTGTATGCATGTATGTGTCGGGGGACTTTAAACATTATAACAGTACCAAGAACATGGCTGCAGCTGTGTTCTTGGTATAACCGCTTTAGGGGGCAGAGGTTTATAAATGGCCACACGCCTGAAGTAGTTAAGTAATGTCACTTTGAGTAGTTATAAATACATGAAAGGAAGTGCTTTGTCAAGAAGTTACATTTCTACGTCAATAAAAGATGGTGGCACATATATTTGTAGTCTTAACACTCATATTACTTTCCACCAGATACTGAGTAGGAAACACAAACGTTCAGGCACGTTAATATTAAGTGGCCAGCAAACTACCATAAACATTTTTTTAGATGATGTAGTTTCTAGGAGAGAGCTTTACATTGGCCCCGGCTACCCAGGACCCATCAGTGTTTTGAGCCTACAGACATCAGAAGATCATTGCATCACTGTGTATATTTGGATATCTGGGCAGAGCATCATGAAAGCCCCTACACTCCCTGCACTGAGCAAAGTGCATGTGTAAGCTGTATCAGCATATTCTGAGGAAATATTAGTTACCATGGCTGTAAAATATAATACAATAATAAACATGTACAATCATGTGCATAAGAGAACTAAATGAAACATCTTCACCAGAAAGGTCTGTCTCCATCGTTCATTGAGGGGACAAAGCTCTGAAAAATTCTGAGACGTAGGGTTATGCTGCTGCCGCCGCCTTCAGGAGGAATGGACACTGGGCACTAGGAAAATATAGATCTCCATCTTGTAATTGATTCACACTGTATAATAAATCATGGAAGTTGTTCTGGATAAGTTAATCCTGGAAGTTTTTCTAGTTAGGAAGCAGGTGATTTATAGTCTCAATACTCATGATTCCTCCTGCTGTGGTCCAGAGTTCCCGTGGTCATCTCCATTTAAAGAGCACAGGCCTTCTGCGTCCCCATACTGTGGATTTTTCCTGCAATGGTCATGTGCTCCTATCTGGTGAGGTATTTCAGCTACCATTTCTGAACTCTGAGGATTCCTTTTTATGATGGACCACGACTGTGGAGGTTGCGAGTACTACAACCGTGTTCTTATCCCTGAAGGGGGCTGGGACCTTGCCTCTTTTTAATAAATTTGTGGACTATTGTTTGCATTTCTTTTTCCATTTGTCTACTGACACTTCACACTGGTTGGGGCTGGGAGTATTCTAGGGAAAAAAATGCTATTTAGAAGGTACATTGGCGTTATATTTATCTACTGCCAAGCGGAGGAACAACTGTGCTGGAACATCTGACAATGCATGCGTTATGGTCTGTGTTCTACCTATAGGGTAGAACTTGCCAAAAAGGAAAGATATTGCTACTGCTTTGTCTAAAACCAATAAATCTTTATCAGTGGCTGCTTCTACTATTCATTGTATATTCATTTTTCTTCCCCCCTTTTTTTTATACAAAAAGTGATTTCTGTAGTTATGGAGGTTTTGCCCATCATGGATAGATAAAAATTACCCCAACAAAAGGATTAAGAAATGCCCCCATTCTTCCTCTCCTATAGCATCAAATGAGATGACGGATAATTCCACTTTAGCTGGAGTCCTTCCAGTAGATTCCTTTTCTGATGATTAATCCTTATGGTCCGTGGAGAAGGATTGTTGATTTTCAGTCACCTATGGTGTTGCAACATCAGAAAAATTATGGCTTTTTTTAAATTAAAATTGTGCGTTCAGCTTTAAATGTAGAGGGTTCTGCAGTTTCTACCCCTCCGGCAGTACCTCTTTTTACAGTCATACAAATTATATACAAAGATTGGGAACCTCTGGCTATACGGTTTGTCACTTTATCCTTTTCCAGATTACTTTGTTTTTAAAATAAATAAAATCTGTTGTCCTTGAGGTTGACTTTGCCGTCTCTTGCCTTGATAGGACGTTGACTATTCCTATTAATTTAGAGACCCTACTGATAACAAATCTGAATCTCTTTCTCGCTTCATTTACTCATGATGGGATAAGCTTTTCTACCCCTTTTAGCCAAGTTTCCTTCATTTTGCTGTAGGCAAACTCCATTATCAATATGTGGTCTAGCCAAGAGTTTTCACCAAGGTCCTAACTTCGATTCTGGGTCTTCTTAGTCAAATGGGCAATCCGATTATCGGATACTTAAAACGATCTTTTGTTTTGCAAAGGGTCTTTGGAACCCAATGTGTCCATAGTACTGAGAACCTTAAAGGACTGGATGAATTCTGAACATTGAGGAATCATCCCAGATTCCATTGCAGTAGTGCACCCAATCCTATCCTGGTTGGAACTTCACGTCCCAGGTGACTTCCACAGTGCACATTCCGAGAGTACAGAACTGGCAGATTGACTTCCTCAGCAAACATCTGCATCTCCCCATCTGTATGCGTTTCAGGAAACTTGTCAGCACTGGGGAATGCTGGATGTGGACCTTCTGGCATCTCAGTTAAACAAGGTGGTGGACAAATTTGTATCCAGACTGAGGGATGACGTGGATGCATTTGTGGCTCTGTGGGAGCAATACACTCTGATATATGCCTTTCCTCCTATGTAGATGCTACCTCGTCTGCTTCATAGAATCAAAATATTAGGGCATTCAGGTTTTTCCGGTCGTTATCACTCCAGAAGTGCTACGCCGACCTGTTTCATCTGTTGGTCAATCCTATGTGGCTTCTTCTGGATCGGCCAAATTTATTACCAATCTTCCACCGTGCTTCTCATATGCTAGCTTTAATGGTCTGGTTGTTGAAACCCAAAATGCTAAAAAGGACAGCAGTGTTCCGGACTCTGTTGTTCCCACTTTGCTTAAGGCTAGTAAATGTTTGTTAAATCTACTATCCTACATGGAAGGTTTATTTTTGATGGCGTGAGTCTCTGGGTTTCTCCCAGTGTGATTTTTCCATTGTTCGGGTTCGTTCTTTCCTTCTCATCAGGACTCATCAGGTTGTAGCTCAAGCCTATGAGCTGCGGGATAAAGTATCGCCTTTTCCTATTTCTGTTCACTCTATTAGGACAATTAGTACTTCCTGGGCTTTTCATGATCAGGCTTCGGTTATTCAAATTTGTAAGGCCGCAACCTGGTCTGCCTCTTCTGATGCTAGTTTTGGCAAAAACAGTTCATGTGGCTACTTAAGGACCTTGTTTATTCTTTTTTTGTTTGGCTGGTTCTTCAGAAGGTTTTCTGTGCCCTCCCCTCCGAGTGCTTTTTAACATCCTTACGTCTCAGAATTCTTCAGAGCTGTGTCCATCAATGGATCATAGAAGTTTGTTCTTACCATAAACTCCAGAGTCCATTGAGGGACACAGCTCCCTCCCCTCATTTCCTTTTATATTGCTTGCTACAAGTGGCAGGTGTCAGGGCTTATTGCCTTAACGTGAGAGGCTTGAATTTTTTTTCCTAGTATCCATTTGGTTGAAGGCAGCAGCATAACCCTACATCTCAATTGTTGAGAGCGGTGTCCCTCAATGCACTCAGAGAAAAGGGTTTTACGGTATACAAAATATTTTTGTGTACCTGCCGACACCCTTTTATAGAGCCTTGTGGGACACACGATATAAGCCTGGACGTTCCCATGCTATAATGCCTCACCTGGAAATCTGATCAAGATAAGATGCTGCTTCACTCTCCACTGTCCGTAACTCAGCCACAGTCTCTTCCTAAACATGAATAAAGCAGAAACCAGCATTAGACAAACAGCTTACGCAAAATGTGGCCGATATCGTTTGAGTGTAGATTGTTTTCTTGACCATATAAAAAACCCACTTGAGTTGCACCACTAGTGCAAATATTTATCCTTTTTTCCTAACACTAGATACATTGCATCCATAGAGTACATGGTTTATCAAAGTGTTGCTAGCATTAAATGAGTACTGTAAGGGCTCATTAATTAATGGGTAGTTAAAAAACATTGCAATAATGAACACTAGGATACGAGATGTGGTGTGGCAGTAACTCCAAAGATAACCAAAATGCATTAAAAATGATTAGAATAGAAAACATTCCTTTCATTTTCAATCAAATTATTAAATCGAATAGAAAGTAAACGTTGACATTTTACTAGATATACAATTAAATAGAACTATTAAAAGTATGACAGGTCAAAAAAAGAGAGAACCCCTCCCCTCCCCCCCAAAAAATGGGGACTGACTGCAGCTCAAAGTGCTGCCTGAAGGCTTGCAGCAGAGGAGGCACAAATGTCCATCTGGCAGAACTTGGATAATGTGTGAACAAAAGACCAGGTGGCAGCCTTGCAAATCTGAGAAACAGTAACCGAATGCAGAAAAGCCTAAGAAGCACTCGCAAATCTAGAAGAGTGTGCCTTGAAATGGAAGGATGGAGTCCTATCCCTATAAGATTTGATGGACTATCTGAGCTAGAGAGATGGTGAAACCTTCCTGAATTACAAAAAGTGAGTCGGTCTTCATAAAAAGACTAAACACTGACTTAGAAAATCTAACAGCCCAAACCACATCCAGGCAATGAAGTAAAATTATCTTTGGGTAAATCAAACCAGGAGAGATATACAGAAGACTGACTGTTCATGTATAGGCTATGGAAAAAGGCAGGGAAAGACTGCAGACAGTTCCGATGTCAGCCCACAATAGGGATTGGATACGGTTTTTAAACCTGTTCCATCTGCTTTTCTAATTGACAAGCCTTGGGTGGCGTTTCCTGCTGCTGTTAAGGCCTTATTGTCTCCTGATCCAGCTGAAAATGGCTAGATATCATGTTTCCCCGAAAATAAGACACTGCCTTATATTTTTTTTTGGCTCCACAAAACACACTAGGTCTTATTTTTGGGGTAGGTCTTTTTTTTTAATGTACAACAATCCACAGTTATTGCAAATCCAAATTAAATAATACAAAATGGCAAAGTTAAGAATATGGTGATCAGGGCAATCAGGGGTGCCGTACCTTTCCAAGAGCAATTTAGTAAACAGAATGAGCGAAGCGTGTTTTTCATCGATTCCTCACAGGCGGAGTGCATTTGGTATCACTCCGCCTGTGACAGGAGCCGGCGCTAAAGAGGAGGCATCGGCTTATGCGGCTCTGCTCCCTCCGCTGCCGCCACGCTTCCTCTAGCGCCGGCTTCGTTGGAACCGCTGATTCGCTCCCGCGGCTCTTCAAGTTCCCCCTTATGCCACCACCAGCCCTGGCAATGGTCACAACTAGGTCTTATTTTCGTGGTAGGTCTTATATTTTAGCAATTCCCAAAATTGGTACTAGGTCTTAATTTCAGGGGAGGTCTTATTTTCAAGGAAATAGGGTAGATCAATTCTATATGGGCACCTTTCGTGGCAACCTACAGCAAACCTAACGTCTGCAAGTAAATTACAAAAATCACGGGTGTCATTTAGGTGTCAAATAACTCCCCCAAAAAACTTTCTTCTATGTACTACCTGCGGTTCTAAAAGCAGTAAAATAGTGTAATCCAACACGAATGACATTTAGGGAACACAGGGCTACCTTCAGGCAGGGTAGTGAATGTTTCTGACCACTGAAATGCATATTACCACACAGCAAGATTCTCCAACTTAGAAAATATTGTGCCTTAATGACAATCCTTATCACCAACAAGCGTGCTTCACTTTCATTTGTTGGCTAAGTCACAAGACACATAGCAGAAGGTCCCAGAAAACAAAGGATGGGTAGGAGGTCTTCCTGAAGTCTCTCTCTGCAAATCATAAGCCCTCTAACAGCCCATTAACAGTCACACTAAGTGCTAGTTTATCACCACTTGGAAGTGGCACCAAAAAACCCCATTCATATTTTAACATAAAATTGGCGTTTCACCTGGATAGACACTCCAAAATTGTTACCATCTTCTATCCTTGGAATAAGAAGCTGAACCCACATTTTTACCTAAGGCACAACAAAAATTTAGATTAAAAAAAAAAAAAAAAAAACACAAAGTATATAGTGCAGTTAAAAGACATATCAAGATAATTGTGGTTAGACTACTGTTGTAATAAAGCGCCTAAGAGAAAGGCTATATATTTATTTTCTTTACTGCACTTTATAGGCAGTTTATTGATTACAAACTATTCATGTCATTATGTTAAAAGTAGTGCTGTAGAAATTAAAGGTTAATTTCTCGATTAATCGTTAAACTTTTTGATCGCTAATGAAAACACTCACTTCTCCGCCGGCTTCCGGGAGTCCCGTCGGAGATCCGGTGACGTCACGCACATCGATGTCACGGGACTCCTCCCCCCTTGCCCAAGTGGCTCCGTCCTGCCAAGCCATTGGCCTATACACATACAGCACAGCAATGAAGTAATAAAATGAACTAGGATCACACTAATCCAGCACGTTATTATTCTGAGTTGCCCCACTCAAGCGGCGGCCATATTGAGTGGGGCATGTGAGATTAATAACGTGCTGGATTAGTGTGATCCTAGTTCATTTTAATACTTCATTGCTGTGCTGTATGTGTATAGGCCAATGTAGTTGGATCTGTATGTGCGTTATAATTAATCGAAATTAATCGATTAGAAAAAAAATTCGATTAAATCGAACACAAACATTTTAATCATTACCAGCCCTAGTTAAAAGTATGCCCGCTTTACAGAATTTGCTTACTATTCTGCATCTCTATAACCCCCTTTCTCTATTAAGCTGGCCATGATCTGCAGATTTTCTATGGTCAGATGGAAAAAGATTCCTCCATCCACAGTTTAGCGTAGATGGAGGAATGTGTTGCAGTTTTTCCATCCGACCATAGAAAATCTGCAGATAATCTATAGGTGTATGGCCAGCTTTAGGCTACTTCCTTCTCCCCTACAGATATACACGTGCTGTAGTAGGTGTAAAGCTGTGCTACTTCCCAATCAATGAGTAAACAGGTTAACAACAACAACAACAACAACTGCTACATCTCCAGTTAATTTTCACTCTTTGCACTAACATGCGACGAGAGGAATAACGGTCTAGGTAGTCAAGCAGCTCCCCTCCCCTGTATTACTGTTGTCTCAAACAGTTCAGGGATTACATATCTAACACAGTGCCTTGAACCATTCATCCATTTATATAAAACACACACCCACAGAATACTCACCGTATTGCATTTCTCAATCAGTAACCTGATCTCTGGCTTCACTTTTTCTATAATCTCAACTAGAGGTGCATTACTCTTTAACATTCCATTGGGCATCACAAAAACTTTGGTGCCTATAAAAAAGGAAAATAGACCATTACTCACAAAAAGCAAAAACAAATTTGTATAAAAATTACCAGATTTGCATACCTTAGACAAATATTAAATGTATATTTAAAAAAAGGGAACAAAACAAAAAAAAACACAGCTTCACAGATTTGGTGCTCACTAGAATCTTTAACACGGAGTTTAGGCTTAAAGTCTCAATTTGTTTTTATTTTTCACAACTCAGTCACCTAACTCCCACAGTGTATGTTTTTTTAATCATATGATTCCGTGTGAGTAGATACTGGGATACAGACCGACTTTACATGTACGTACAATTTCTTTTACACCAATAGACCTTATTTATAAAATGTGAATGGAGGTACAGTATGAAATGCCTAAATGTCAAATGCCTAAGTTCCTACTCGCTTCCTAAACAAAAAAAACAGGTTTGTCTGACAAGAACATTATTTTACAAAGCCATGCTGGTTTTCACCTATAATACCATTTTCACTAACACTTTCTTAAATATAGCCCCTCAAATATTTTACATACTATGGATGTTGAACAGATAGGTCAGTCATTTCCTGGCACAAACCTCAACCATTTGTTTTCAATATTGGGACCACAATCAGTCAACTAACATCTTCAGAAAAAAGTCAGAAATGGCAGCCATTATATTCCTCACAGCACAGGTTTCCTTTAACTCTGCCTTCAAAGCCTATCAGTTAAAAATGTTTCTGTGGCTGATAAGAAGCCAGCTGATGGCAGCAAAATATTGCTGCTCTTTCAAAAAGTTAACCTTTTCTCAAACTCCTTTGAAAACAAAGCTCTTTTGCAGGATTAAGGGTGTGAGCAGCATGGAACAAAATGATGGCCAACTAAAAGAGAAATTATTTAAAAAATTGTGAAATAGCTGGATCTTGCGAATGACTTATTCTGAGCACACAATAGGGCTGCAGCCAACGATTATTTTCCAAATTCGATTAGTTAGTCGATTATGAAGTTAAATGGTCAGCATGTGAAAAAGAGAAGAGGAAGCAGACACAAAGGGGCTGATGTATAAACATTCTCAGTGTATAGCTGGGTAAAAATACTGTTCACACTGTATTTCCGCCACTAGGTGGAACTGAGGAGCACAGAAAATTGCTATTCTCCCTGGCTCCATCTAGTGGAGGGAATGCCATGCAAGCGGCATTCACCCAGCTTATATATAAAGTGTAAAGAAATTTAGAAAGTTTACACAAAAGCATAATCCATCTTCTGAAGTGGGTGGATGTTCTTGCCTAAATAAGATCACTAGTTCTGCATAAGATCACTAGTTCTGCAGCTGACTTTAAAATTCATGTCTAAGCCAAGCTCCCTCTTAATGGGGGAAATTTATCATTGTAGTCGTAGATTCTGCGACAATAAACCTGTCGCAACACAGAATTTGGCCGCAACGTGCTACTGAATTATTCATCTAGTGTTACATGGGTTCATGAATGTGTAGAACTGCAGGTTGCACATTTATTCATTTTGGTCGCAGAGAGCTTTTAGAAGTGCGGCTGCCGAGAGTGCTCCATGAGAGAAGATTTGTGAGACTGAGGAGACGGAGGGGGGACAACAAAGAATGAGGGTGGGAGAGACGAGAGAGAAGATTTGGAAGACGAGTGTTACATGAGAGGAAGACAAGTTTTCTGAAAGAGTGTGAAGCAGCAGAGAGATGGTTTAAAGAGAAGCAAAGCGAGAGAAGGATTTCTGACATGGCGGAGAAATAACGGACATGTATATGACATGGGGGAGGCATTGCAAACAGGGAAGACTCTTCTACTTTGTATCCTTTGATCTATGAATGAGCTCCTAATCCAGTCTCTGCAACAATAGAAAGAAGCAAATGCCGGCAATATCTCCACTTGCTGTGTGCCAGTGCACAGTTCACGGCTTCTCCGAACTACCAGAGCATAACCACTGACTCTTTAACACTTTCACATACCAGTCACTGACATGGGAAGCCAAAGTTTAGACAAAGGGGAAGGGTATGTAGAGCTGTTTTCCACAGGAAGAGGTCAAATAAGACTTTGACAGGATAACACAGCCGGCACTACTTTAAGAAGTCCTCATGGGGACTTCTTAACATGCGACTGTTCTGTGTCTAATTTCAGAATCAGAGGACTGTTGCAGATCTGACACAAGTGTGTGGATTATGCGTCTCGTCACTGTTTGTATCCATCTGGTTGCAAATACTTACGTGTCGCAGTGGTGGAGGAAAAAGGACGCAAATGCGGATCATTTGCGTTCCTTTAGCATTATTTTACAAGATGCGACTAAGAAAATAGTCGCAAACCCTTTGATAAATTCCTCCTCCCCAAAGTGTTTTTGTATTGCATTGCATCTCATTGGTTAAAATAATCAGCAAACCTAAAATCCTGTATGTTCTATTGCATTGCCCCATCTATCTTTATCCCAAAACTTTATGCCCCTCGTTTCTTTTGTCTGGAAAAAAGATACTCAGATTTAACCACCGAATACTTATTCTACAGAGTGGGGGGAAGGAGCTTCCAATAGTACTACACTCTACTTTGCCTTGCAGCTATATCATGCTCTTCATAGAGAGGAAAGCTAGGTTTCGGAACCCGGTAAATTTACCAAGCTGCTGTGCCTCACCCATACGTATAGACACTTCTTACACTTGGTTGTTCCTGGGGTCACCAGGGTAAAACACCCGACTTAAATATGCTTGTAGTATCCTAAAACAGGGGAAGATAAATGAATATGGGAGTCCAGTAGCCAGTCTATCCAAACCAGTAACCAGTTCCGTTGACAACAATTTGATAAAATCTGAAAAGTTGGATGCCACGTGTAATTTTTAAGGAGTATTGGCTACCTGCTTGATGTGTCCATCCCCGATTTAAAATATGAGAAACGGTGCATAAACTTCTATATAGAAATGAATGGTCACCAGACAGTCCCCCTATGGGAAAACAATCTCCTAGAATTTTACATTATACCAATTTTTTTAGAATATGGAGAGATAGGAGTTATTTTGGGGAAAGTAATGCTTAATGGCTTTCTGAAAAACATCCAAACTCTAAAAGAAGAATTTGCTATGCCCAACGGCTACTTGTTCCCCTATATACAAATGAGGCACTATTTTCAAACAAAATGTCCTCAGCCTCCAACATTGCAGAGCACTGTGGTTTCTGTGCTTACCATTTACCGTGCCTCCCTTACCTCCCCAAGAAACATATCCTCCCTGTATAACACCCTGGCTGATCTCCCCTGGCTACCCAGATAAGCTTTTGCTTAATACATAGCAGTTACTTAACTCCGAGTAGACTGACTTTTGTGAGGGCCAGAGACCAATGTGACCCAAATGTGGTGGTATGCCAACTAATTTCGTATGAGTCTTGGTCCTGGCCATGTGTGGAGGGCTGCTGGAAACAGGTTGTCCAGTTTATATACTGTATGCAATGGTGTTTCCCCATCTTGCCTCCTTGGGCTGCTGGTTCTTGTCCTGTGAGACCACGTGTAACAGAATACTCTTTACTGCTTGAAAACTACTTGCTCAAGGACATTTAAATTAATTAGGGATGAACGGATATCACAAAGAAATTTTATCTCATGGTCTCCAATAGGCAGAAGGTAAAAGAGAACTATGGGGTAAGCTTTTGATCCCATAGTTCTCTTTAGGGTCACAGAGGACATATACTAACGTCCTCCCCTGAACCAAAGCTTAGTAAAAGCGGGCTATATACCAAAGCGGGCTATATACTAAGAGTGCAGCAGCCGGGATGGATCCCGACAATACTGTCGAGATCCACCCGACTGGTTGATTGACAGCGGGCTCTGCCTATCTAGAGGCAGAGCCAGTTGTGCACACTCCCTCCCCCATCCGTTCCTCCAGGCAGCACTGGAGGATCGCAGAGGGGGGGGGAATCCCTGCGGGGAGCGGTAACCGACACTCACCGCTGTCTGCAAGATGATCGGGAAGTGAGCGAGCGACAGTATGTGTTCGATTTATAGAGTCGACGTGTGACAGTTTCAATGTATGGCTCCAACTACAAGTGTAAATCACTCACCTCATAGTTCTCGTTTAAAGAACAAGTCTCACATTGTGTCAATTTTCACACCTGTCATCTGAACTGGGAAAGTGGAGGGGAGAGTGAGATAAGAGGCCGTCTCCTTTGCAGAGTGTGGTTGGAAATGAAGGAGTGGGTTGTCAAAGTCTGTCTCTCAGTTACAAATACACCCAAAAGCATGGCATAAAAAGCATCATACACTGTGGGAGCCAGGTGACTGAGCTGTGAAAAATAATGCAAGTCCATCCAAAGATTTTCCATTCAACTCCTTCAATCTTTAGTTAATAAGATGTTGGACAGAAGGGTGGCGACAGGGCCACCCACTGTGTGAAATTTGTACAGTCTACAGCCGGCTTAAGTCTGGCCAATACATTAGCAATTAAATTACTGCTCAATCAAGTCTGTGAGATAGTCTGGTTGATATACCAGGTTAGGTTGAGGTTTGATCACCCGGGACCCATGAATATATTCAGATCCATAATACTCTATTTTACAGATGTGTAAATAACTGTGTGATATTGCAAAAGGAAATGTTAATTTGGAGAATGAATATATGAACTAATTGAGCTGCTAAGGCAGCCAGCAGTGTATATAAACAGCGGATTGTCTAACTAATATGATAAAGTTTCTGATAAACAATGCCGTTGGTGTAGCTGAATAAGTGAGATTTATCTGGGATTTTGTATCTTAATTGGCAATTTGTGTGCACAGGTGATGGTGAAGATGCCTACAACATTGCATTACACAACAGTCTGAAATGCAACATATTGTACTTATTCGGGACTGAGAAGTGGATAATTACCTACTTTCAGAGATACTTACATTGACAAAGCACAGCATATGTAAAGAACTCCAAGCAGGTGCTAAAATTATTAATGCATTTTTTGTGTGTGGAACTTTCCTTTAAAAACCAGCATGGGTCAATTTATATACAGGAAATGCTGATTACCCAAGCAGGAGATTGGCTTGTTGAAACAAAGTATTCCTATGGGATCCCAAATAAGATATAGCACTTTATAATTATACGAAACTGTCAAAGCCGATGGAGATAACGGATGTAAGCTGGGGGAGCCCTCCGATGGAGAGAACTGATGTAACCGCATCACACACCACTGTGCCCATAGAACTTAAAGAAATGCCACAAACAAATAAGAAGTACATCAGCCCTATGTCTGGGAAAACACACCAACGGCTGTGCATTGCAGTGCAGCTGCTCGTGTGAATGCAGCCTTAATGGTGGTCCAGACAGGGACTGAGTGACTGTTCTGTCTGGACCCCAAATAACACCTCGGCTCAATTACCAGGCCTCCTTGAATTTTAATTCACTGCCCCCTGCACTATGGGAAGAAGGAAAGTCAACAGAGGCAATATGATGCTTTGTGCAATGTTCTGCTGGGAAACCTTGGCTCCTGCCATTCATGTGGATGTTACTTTGACAAGTGCCACTTACCTAAACGTTGTTGACCAAGCACACCCCTTAATGGAAACAGTATTCCCAGAGAGCACTGGCTTCTTTCTGCAGGATAGGATGGCCTGGAACACTGCAAAAAGGGTTTAAAGAACGCAACAAGTTTTAAGAGTTGACTTGGCCTCCAAATTCCCCAGATCTCAATACATTTGAGTATCTGTGGGATGTGCTGGAAAAACAAGTCTGATCCATGGTTCTGTCTGGAAGGATCCAAGGAAGGAGAGAGGCCAGTGACAGAAGAGAAACCCCCATTCCCCTTTGGGCCATTATGGGGCAAACAGAATGAAATGCGTGTCTTCCTGTAGAAATTTCTGAAGTACTCTGGGTAAGAAAAAGGATAAAAGGATTGGAGGAAAGGCATAGCAGAGTCTGAAATTCCATCGGCTCATGAGAGCATCCAGGGCAATTGCTTTGTCTCAGGGGTTCAGTGATAAGAATTGCATAGTCTTTGCATTTGTCTGGGAAACGAAGAGGTCCACTTCTGGGTTTCCCCATCTTTCTGTCAGCGGTGAAAACACTTCTGAGTTCAAACTCCATTCTTGTTGGAGAACACAGTGGCAACTGAGAAAACACACAGCACACATACAACACATAGTACACCCTACACCGGTTGTACATCTCTATTCAGCTCATCCATAGTCCACTATGAGCAAACCGGGGAGGAGGCGGCTGAGACATGGGGGAGGTCATGGGTCCCAAACGGTCAGTCTGGCTCATCGAGACGACCCTATTCATTCCGTTGACAGTCCACTATGATCATCCAGGGGTGGTCGAGAGAAGGCGGCTGGGGGAGGGCGCGAGTCCTTGGACAATGCCCGAACAGTCAGTTCGCCCCCCGGTTCAGGGCTAATTGAGCTATATTGCGGATCCGCCGGTGTTCACAAGCATGCAAGGTAAGCAGTGAGAAGGGGAGGGAGCGAGGGTGCAAGCAATCAAACTAATCAAGCAACCAACTAATCGATATGAAAACTGTTGATAACGAATTTCATTATTGATTATCGACAATCGATTAGTTGTTTCAGCCCTACAAGGGTGCCCGAGTTCTTAGGAGTCTAAGGTGGTCCATGCTACTGCAGCTCCTCACCCATTATTGGTGTGCTAGCAGTATGTGCTGAAAAGTACCAGCTTAGACCCTCAGTCTCCTGCACCCAGAAATGATGTAACCCCTACTGGAAGTGATGTAAATCATGCGGTCAGCTGGGAGGAAGCACCAGAGACCTAGTACAGTCGCACAAGTCTCTGGCTACAAAGGGACCCCAGCGCCACCAGCCGACTGGGGGATGGGAACGCATACCCGGTCATGGCCTTTACCAGGCACAAAAGAGGATCAGAGAGCGAGGCCACCTCTTGGGGGTGGGGGAGTGGGGTAAAAAAACAAGGGAAACCAGCAGCACAGCAGGCTCCCCACATTCCAGAAATGGCAACGTGTCTCCTCCAAATAGAGGAAACAATAAAACTGAGGATGCCTTGGGGCAGTGCTTTTATCTTTTGATTGGGCAACGTTGTTCCTGTCCGAGGAGTGGCACCCGTCTCTCATGGAGTGTCCCAGAAGACTGGGGTGGGTGAATGTCTTGCTTATAGCAACTTATAAAATCCAGTGCCCAATTATTCTCTAAAGGTGCCCATACACCTTACGATTATCGGACGAAACTTTTCGTCCGATGATCGAATAGTCGTACGATTTTCGTACGACAGCCCCATCCTGCCCCGATGATCGTAAGATTAAATTTAGCCGTAATTAACGAGAAGCACCTGGACGAAATGCGGTAATTGATTTGTCGTATTTTCGTTCGTGCATGCGCAGTGTAGATCGTGCGACTTTTGACGGACGGAAACGCCAGCAACCTTACGACAATCGAGCAAAGTTTTCAAACATGCTTGACCGTCAAAAGTCGTACGGGCACTCTATTCACACGTACGATTGTCGTTCAAAAAGTCGATCGCATACGATTATCGTCCGATAATCGTAAGGTGTATGGGCACCTTAAGGCTGCCAAGCACATCTCTGGAGACTTTCAACTTCAACATATATGAACTCTTGCTGACCTTTATTATGATGTCTGAACACCTGACCAGTATAAGGTCACTACTAGAACCAAAGATATGAGATTACAGAAACCTTTGCTCAGTACCAAGTTTTCCCCTTACACCAAAATATTCACTTTCACTGAAGTTTTTGAAGCAAAATATAGGTGGTGTGTACTGAATGATAGAAGCAAGCAAAAGAAGTTAAACATTTTTTACCCCACCCCTCAACACAAAAAGGTGCTATATGTCTCCATTTTGACAGCACTATAGCATTTTGTGTTTCCGCAGACATAAGCCTTCATAAACACTAACCTGTACAGTGATCATCATCTTCTAGTTTCCGCTTCTTAAGGTTTGGCTGTAAAAAGCATGAATGAAATAAAAATTAAAAAGCAGTTATGTACAGAGACAGCCAAAAAACAAGGGAAGCCTTTCTATTCTCTGGTCAGTATGTATCCCAGAGGAAAGTTAGAATACCTGACCTGGTATTTACTGTCAAAAAATAGTATGCGTTATTAGCTACACCTTTAAAATATTTTCCACAAAGGAGTTCTATAATATAGGTATTGCGGTTACTGTGAGCAGTATTATTTACACAGTTTCCAAATTTGAGATGTCTTCATAGTTTCATTTTATAAACCAAGACAGGGAAATCTTCAATCTGCTAGCTTAGAAAATGGCATAAAACTTGTTGACAAAGTACTAAGCTTATTCACTACAACTGAGAAAACCTTGTTGTTTTGTGTTTAACTTTTTACTGCACTTTGTGGCATAAGTACTACACAAAACTTACACCATCCAATCTGTCGTGGCTGTTCGTCAGTAGAATGGGATCTGGTACTGGCAGATTCATTTCAGAATGTATTTGTGTGAGGTCCTGAATATTAAGCATGGGCTCCTGCAAATAAAAAGTAGAGATGGTACAAACGGAACAAGACAAACCGTGATTGTAACATCAATCCAATATCTCTGCAGATCTCAGGAAAAATAATATTTCATACTTTCCCATTTAAATTGATCAAAACACCATATTCAGCACAAATTATATCACACGGCTGAAATCTCACTATTGCTGCCCTCTATGCAATTATAAAAGGGCAGTCCTACCTTGAGAAAGCTGTCCAGTTCTAACAATTTGTTTGGGAAAAAACTGGCAACGAGGTCTTCTGCCTTATTAATAAAAAAAATACAAAGATTATTGTTAAATATTTAATAGTTTAACAAACAAAAAAAACACACCACAACAAATTGTAATTTCGTCATTACACAAGGACTTCAGGCAGAAATAATCTTAACCCTTGCAGTGCGGCTACTCCCGCACTGCAAGGGTCAAGTGCTCGTTTTTGTCTATAAGCAGGTTGTTTACCACGACAATAGAAGTGATTGTTTTCTGAAGATACGGGTAAACAATGCGATTTAACAGCCTTTGAACGTGGGATGATTGTTGGCGCTCGGAGCCATGGAGCGAGTATCAGCAAAGCAGCAGAATCCGTTAAATGTTCAAGAGGGGCTCATTGTTAAAGTGTTTAAAAAATAGACTGTCAGCCGAAAATCTGGGTCTGAACGTGCGAATTGTGGCCGTCAGCGACTAGTCAATGTTAGGGCAGAACGGAGAGTGGCAAGACTGGTACAAGACAACAGAAGGGCAACAGTGCAGTGTCAGATTCCTCGCATCACCTTTCAACATCTCGTGGAGTCACGAGGCGGCCCAACGAAGTCATCTCGTGGCCCAACAAGGTACTGATGGGGTGGCCATTATAAGTGTGTGTGTATTCGTTCTTTATCCCTAGATGAGCACTTAACCCTTGCAGTGCGGGAGTAATCCTACTGTAAGGGTTAGGTTTATTTGTGCTGGGAGTTCTTTACATTAACTGGGAGACACAGCATTGCCGCTGGACACTAAGGTAGGGCTGGATAAAACGTAGGAGCATTAAAGGGTGTACATATATTTTTTTTAAAAGTAAAAAAGTAGTGTGCAAAAGTAAAGTTTTTAATATGTCCATTATTTTCTGATCTTTAAATTGTCTTCCGCAGGGTGAATGTAACATTCATTAAAGGAGAACTATGGGGGAAAACACTGACCCCATAGTTCTCCTTTAACATTTGATCCCAAGAGAAAATAGCCCAAGACCATTTGACAAGAAGAGAAAATAGCCTAAAACAATAGCTTAAGAACATTTGAGCAGAAGAGAAATAACCTGCAACAATACATTATACACATTTGACCAAAAGAGAAGATAACATAAGGGAGACTTCTGTGCTCGCTTGAGAGTAATGAGAACATAAATTGTTAACAGAACAATGATTAGATTCCACAGGAGTATAAATGCAGAAGTACTGGATAAAATATGCCAATATAAAAATAGCAGCACTTATCTCTATATAAAACTCGTGCACAACCAGTATGAATAAGATCGCTACATTTGCTGATAAAACTCTGCAAGAATATCCAGAGAAAGGTCAGGGGTGAAAAGCAACCACAATAAAACTGACAACAGTAATTTCACAGAACAGGTGCGGCCAGCACAGTGAGGCACAGATTAAAACTCCAGTGTGTTTCTTTAGTGCTACATTTGTGCTGTAAAAATAAAAAAATGTTGTGCTGCTTTTATTTTTAAGATAATAGCAATTTTCTTTTAGATGATGACATCACAAGCCCTAAGGCCCGATGCACACCTCGGCGATCGTGCGGTCCTACACAATGCAGGCAGCAATTGCCGCGCAGCCCCATTGATTTCAATGGGGTGACATCCACATGTACGATACATATAAGTTTTTTTTTGTTTTCTTTAAAGAGTATAAACACTTAGTGACATGACACTACACTCAGGAGTAATGCATTCAAGTACCTTAACTATTAACAAAAATGTATGTCATTTGTGTATCACTCGGCTGTAGATCCTCAAATCATCTCTGAATTGGTGCTGACACAGTCCTTCCTTTTGGAGGGGGGCTACTTTTGTTCCCCATGGTCCCTGTGTGTGTTGTAAAGTAGCCACTCCAAGCTCACTCCCGTGATGGACTACAATATCAATACAAATTAGTAAACTAAACATCAGATTGAATAAAAAGGTACTCGAATGCATTTTTAAGATTTAAAGGAGAACTATGAGGTGAGTGATTTCCACTCTCATTAGATAGAGCCGACCTGTGACTAAGAAGCTGTCACAGGTCGGCTCTATCGATTGGAAAGTGAGCAGAAACATGCCGCCAATTGGCTCACTTTCCGATCATCTCCCCGCAGAGAGCGGTGACTGTCAGTCCCCGCAGGGACTCCCCTCTGATTCTCCAGTGCTGAGTGGAGGAACGAACAGTGGAGGGGGCGGGCACAGCTGGCTCTGCCTCTAGATAGGCAGAGCCCGCCGTCACTCCCGCAGCTGGGTGGATCTTGACAGTATTGTCGGGATCTGTCCCGGCTGCGGCGTCTCAGGATATTGCGGGCAATAGCCCGCTATATACTGAGCTTTGGGTCACGGGAGGAGGTTAGTATACGTCCTCCAGTGACCCTAAATGAGAACTAGGGAGAAAAAACACTTACCCCTATAGTTCTCTTTTAACTCTTGAGTTTAGTGTCACTTTAAAATTTCATGACAGTAAAGAAGCCCATGCTGCCCTGAGCTCAGTAGTTCTCTCTTAAATTGATGAAAGCATTAATAAAAATAACAATAAAAAATACATGATATATACACACTAACACACACAGCCTTACCTCATTTGTGATTCTCTCTCGGAAGCAATCAACCTAGAAAAAAAGTAAAAATTACTATAAATAAAATACATTTTCCTATAGAATAAGCTGCCCCCCTACAGCCAATGCCCCCCTTCCAATTTAAATTATTTAAATTACAGAGTCCTCAATCTCTTTTTCTGCAGCCCCTGTTATAAATGAACAGGAAACTACTATACTGAGTGTTCCTGTTCATTCATAACTTGTGGAGATAATATGTTTACCATGTCCACAATCATGAATGAGCAGAAGTGATATAGATCTTTCCCATTCAAATCATAATTGGGGACACAGTAAACATTCTATGTCCTCAATTATTTTAAAAGCGGTCAGCAATCAGCTGATCGCTGACTTCTTGTAACCGCTCTCCACGGGCAAGCAGCATGGTTAAAGCTTTTTGTTTTACTAATGACCTCCTGTGACCCAAAACTCAGCATATAGCAGGGTATTGCTGACAGCAAAGCGCCATGCTGCAGCAGGGAAAGATCCCAACAATATTGTCAGGATCCACCCTGCTTCCTGATTGACAGCTGGCTCTGCCTCTCTAGAGCCAGAGACAGCTGTGCCCACCCCTGCCCATCTCTCCAGTCAGCACTAGAAGATGAGGTGGGGTGGAGGGGAATCCTTGCGGATAAGTGGCGACTGACAGTCACCTCTCTCTACAGGGAGAAGACCGTGAACTGAGCAATGAACGGTATGCGATTGTCTACTTCACGATCAATAGAGCCGACGTGTGACAGCTGTTAAGATAAAAATATTAAGCTTTTTTTTTTAACCACGTTAACCCCTTCATGACCAAGACCTATGTTCATTTTTTGCACCCATGTTACAATTAGCATGGGAAGCTGGCTCAATGTTACCTCGCGGCACTGTCGGTCAGAGGAGATTTCGCTCCAACCAGAAGTTCCGGTATCGGTGAAGTTATCGCAGTATTTGGGAGAGTATGAGTACTTGCCCAAATAATCGGTATTGGTGCATCCCTAGCATGAACTATGGAAAATTATGGGCACCGTAGGTTTTTGCCATTTGATGGGCAGTTTTGAAGCTTGACATGTTTGGCATCTCTTTAGTATCTTGCCGCAACCTTTTTTATATTCTGCCAAAAATTGGGTATTATGTTTCTGTCCACTATTAACTTAGAGTGTATTTTATTTTCTCCTGAAAATGGGGGTTTGATAAACAGTTGCAATAATATCATGCAACATAATGAATTGCAACTGCCACCATTTTGTTCTACAGGGTCTGTGCTTTCAGAAATTATCAGGGGAGGGGTTTAAGTCCTAAAATGTGAACCTTAAAATGTGTGCAAAAACAGCTGTGGCAGTAAAAGAGTTAATCCCTGAGGGAGAGGAAACCGAGGGCATGCTTATTCCCTCATGCAGCAGAATGACATCTTTGTCTAGGTGAACTCACCAGTTGGAGCCCAAGTGGAACTTGGAGTTCTAAGGAAAAGTTATAGTGCTGCTAAATACTATGACAGGTAAGAAAAGAATACATGCAGACTTTTCATTTATTGAAAGGGCCACTTTGATTTTGTCTCAAATCACAAAAATCATTTGGTGACACTACACAGCTTTCATATTAACTTTGCTAACCGAATGGTGTAACGATATTTTCTGCAGCCCCCATTAGGAGTCTACAAGCTGCCCGGCACCGGTCTTCCTAAAGAGAAAGGGTGAGCTTACTTACAAACACTTCCTCCAGACCAGTCTGTATCAAGCTGTGTCATCATAAAAGTCCTCCATTTCAGACATGAGGTATAGGCCCCCCCCGATAAGAGGGCCCCAACCTCCCCGTGTAACCACAAAGGGCCCCCCAATACAAAGCTGCTCACACACTTCCAGCAGTGCCGATTCTGGAATGACACCGCAAAGCCGCTCACCTTCATTTTCAGCTCGTGATCCACTTTCAGCAGGGAGGACATGTTGTACGGCTCGAAAATCCTCCTTCACTCAGAACAGCTCGTGCGGCTTGGCTCCGGAAGTGACGTCTCTTCCAGCGCGCAGTCGGTTGAGTTGACGGAAAGTAGACGGGCTTACAAGGCGCCAATCACATCGCAAATCTCTTTCCGTAACGCGAATAAGACGCAGCTATTGGCCAGCTGTTTGCGTCCTCTTTTTTTCGCTCAGGATCCCCATGTGGTGCTCTGTCACCATCCACGTGTTGTTTCTTAAACATGGGAATTGTCCCTAAAACATTGTATAGTAATTACAAATTATATTTGATAATAATGATAATATGGAATTGCCCATGTTACCCTATAACTGTACGGTAATATGGTGTATCGAAATCTGTTACTCCTGTCGCTCGGGTATTTCCGTAGCCCCGCCCCTTCCCTGCAGTCGCATGTGTAATTGCATAGCGCCGCCTCTCTCCAAACTCCAGTGTTCTAACACATACAGATGAATGTCTCCTGTAACACTGTGTGAGCAGCCGTTTGCATATTTACATAGCCCCGCCCCCTCTCTCCCAGCTCTCGTGTTCTATCACATAGAGACGAACGTCTCCTCACCCATTGTGTGATCTGATCGTTCCATATCCATATGTCTCCACACACTATAGAAATCACCTGTAACGTGTCTGTCCTTCACATTTCTCCACAATCTTTGTTGTGTTTCTGCTATTTCCTGTGCTAGTCTGCTGATGATAAAATAGATTGTTAAATAAACATTTTTATATAGTTTCTTCATCGCTCATCTCAATCCGCAACGGCAATCTCAATCCGCACCGGTAATCTCAATGTGCACTGACCATCTCACTCCGCACTGCTCATCTCAATCCACACTGGTAATCTCACACCGCACTGGCAATCTCACTCTGCACTGCTCATCTCAATCCGCATTGGTAATCTCAATCCGCATCGGTAATCTCAATGCGCATCGGTAATCTCAATCCACACTGCTTATCTCAATCCGCACCAATAATCTCAATCCGCACTGGTAATCCTCACAGGTAATGTCAATTCGCACTGCTCATCTCAATCCGCACCAGTCATCTCAATCTGCACTGCTCATCTCAATCCGCACTGCTCATTTCAACCCGCAACAGTATTCTCAATCTGCACTGCTCATCTCACTCCGCAGCAGTAATCTCAATCCACACTGCTCATCTCACTCCGCACAAGTAATCTCAATCCACTGCTCATCTCACTCCGCACCGGTAATCTCAATCCGCACCGGTAATCTCAATGTGCACTGACCATCTCAATCTGCACTAATCATCTCAATCCGCACTAATCATCTCAATCCGCACCGGTAATCTCAATCCACACTGACCATGTCACTCTGCACTGATCATTTTAATCCGCACTGCTCATCTCACTCCGCACTGATCATCTCAATCTGCACTAATCTCAATCCTCACTGTTCATCTCAATCCGCACCAATAATCTCAATCCGCACTGATTAATCTCAATCCACACTGTTCATCTCAATCCACGCCAATAATCTTAATCCGCACTGCTCATCTCAATCCGCACTCATCATCTCAATCCGCACTCATCATCTCATCCCGCACTAACCATCTCAATCCGCACTGATCATCCAAATCCGCACTGATCATCGCAATCCGCACTGATCATCGCAATCCGCACTGATCATCGCAATCCGCACTGATCATCGCAATCCGCACTGCTCATCCCAATCCGCACTGCTCATCTCAATCCGTACTGATCATTTCCGTCTGCACTGATAATCTCAATCCACACTGCTCATCTCAATCCGCACTCATCATCTCATCCCGCACTAACCATCTCAATCCGCACTGATCATCCCAATCCGCACTGCTCCTCTCAATCCGTACTGATCATTTCAATCTGCACTGATAATCTCAATCCGCACCGATAATCTCCATCCGCACCGATAATCTCAATCCGCACTGATAATCCTAATCCTCACTGCTCATCTCAATCCGCACTGATAATCCTCACTGCTCATCTCAAACGCACTGATAATCTCACTCCGCACTGCTCATCTCAATCCGTACAGGTCACATTAATATGCACAGCTACTGTATTCTTAGTCCTTACTAGTCATGGTCATGGGATTTGTTCCCCCCTTGTGTTGACATTCGGGTCAGAGCTGTCATTTTGTGGCGAAAAGTTTGTCAAGATTGCACGGGTATTTTCTCTTTCCAAAAGTCGGTGGGCGTTGTCCATCATGATTATGTGGATATACATGGCTGGACGATGTGATTGACGTGTGGATCTACATGGCTGGACTACGTGATTTACATGTATATCTACATGGCTGGACGACATGATTCATGTGTGGATCTACATGGCCGGACGACGTGATCCCAGATAGCAAGCAATCGAGCTGCAAGTTTGAAAATGACTTGCTAAACTATTGCTAGACTTGCCAAGCTTCACAATTTTGTTGCACAATTACAGCAAGTCTGCATTGCAAGTCTCCAGACCAGCGAGCTTTACAAAAGTGCTGGACACTTGCAGAGCTCTTGCTAAGATCTGCAGGACTCTTGCTGTAGACTTGCCAAGCAAATTTGCTACAAATTCAAAAAGTGTCAACTGGAACTTGTGCTGCAAGTGTTCTGCAAGTCTACAACTTGACAGGAATGTGTGCAGCAAGTTAGAAAGAATTACAATTTAACCCTGCCACAAGTTTGTGGCAAGTTATCTGGGATTTACCTGTGGATCTACATGGCTAGACGATGTGATTGACGTGTGGATCTACATGGCTGGACTACGTGATTTACGTGTGGATCTACATGGCTGGACGACATGATTTACGTGTGGATCTACATGGCTGGACGACATGATTTACGTGTGGATCTACATGGCTGGACGACATGATTTACTTGTGGATCTACATGGCTGGACGACATGATTTACTTGTGGATCTACATGGCTAGACGACGTGATTTACGTGTGGATCTACATGGCTGGACGACATGATTTACGTGTGGATCTACATGGCTAGACGACGTGATTTACGTGTGGATCTACATGGCTAGACGACGTGATTTACGTGTGGATCTACATGGCTGGACGACGTGATTTACGTGTGGATCTACATGGCTGGATGACGTTATTTACATGTGAATCTACATTGCTGGATGACGTGATTTACGTGTGGATCTACATGGCTGTACGGCGTTATTTACATGTGAATCTACATTGCTGGATGACGTGATTTACGTGTGGCTCTAGATCGCTGGACGACGTGATTGATGTGTGGATCTACCTGGCTGGACGACATGATTTACGTGTGGATCTAGATCGCTGGATGACGTGATTTACATGTGGATATACATCGCTGGGCGACGTGATATACATGTGGATCTACATGGCTGGACTACGTGATTGAAGTGTGGATCTACATGGCTGGATGACGTGGTTTACATGTGGATCTACATGGCTGGGCGGCGTGATTTATGTGTGAATTAAAATCAAATATACGGTGTGGTGTGTACTGTGTATCTCTGACTGCTCCACATCCCAAATAGACCTTCCCCACTTCCCCACTGTTCCCCAATTCCCCGCTCTACCTGTCCAGAGGAAATGGATTCTGATAGCAAACTGCATATTGCCTTTTCTATTTTCGGTTCCCCTGGCTCTTCAAGGGTTACGCTAACTTGGATCTGCTTTCTCTGACTGCATTAGGGTCCCCACACACCTTACGATTATCGTTCGATAATCGCGGGAAATCCCACGATCGTACGATGATCGTAAGGTGTGTGGAAGCCGTGCGACCTCTACTACTGTAAGGTCGCACGACTTTAAACTTACGGACATGTTTGAAAACCCGCCGAGCATCGTACGATGTTCGGCGGGTTTGTGGCATGTCCGTACGATAACAGCCGCAGGGGCCGGTGTGCGCAAGCGCACACTGCCCGTTCGGCATTGAGGTCATCGGAAGCCCGCCCCCTCAGGGGGCGTGGCTTGCGATCATCGCAAGTACGATCTGCCTATGCAACATAGGCAGATCGTACGTTTTTTTAAGTACCTTACAACCATCGCAAGACAAAAGTCTTGCGATGGTTGTAAGGTGTGTGCCCAGCCTTACACTGTTTCCAGCTACACCAGGTCATCCTAACAGCCAGCCTGAAAGCTATAATTTGTGGTTCCCTCAGCTATTCAACGGTTAAAGGAGAATTATAGAGTGAGTAAAAAACGCTTATCCCCATAATCCAAGCTGATCCGTGACAAAGAAGCTGTCACAAGTGGGCTCTATTGATTGGGAAGTGAGTGAAAACATAGCACTGTTGCTGATCTCCCGATCCTCTCCCTGTAGAGAGTGGTGACTGTCAGTCACCGCTCTTCGCAGGGATTCCCCCCCTCCTCTCTGATCTGATCCAGCGCTGACTGGAGGGAGGTGGCAGGAATAGCTTGCTCTGCCTCTAGAGAGGCAGAGCCAACTGTCAATCAGCAACGTGATTTACATCTCGACAGTATTGTCGAGCGGCAGTCTCGGTATATATGCTGAGTTTTGGGAGGACATCCTGAGAGGTGATCCTGAGAGGAACTATGGGGGGAAAAGGTGCCTTCTTTGTATAAAATGTTCCCTCCTCAGACAACATCTGGATCACCATTTAATAAATAAGCCCCTTCAACATTTTATAAATGATCCCCATCTCCCTTTTGCTGAATTAACTTCTTGGGAGCTGACCAAAGTGCTGAACCTCCTCCATAGAAATAATTGCAATGATTGGCTATGATATCCAAAAAGAGGAGATTTAGTACCATGGTCAGCTCCTCTTAGGATGACATTACAATGATCTTTATCCCCTTGCCGTCCACCCAACGTAAAAACACGGGTGGACGGCGGATGCTTCCCGGCGGGTGGACGTACATTTATGTGATTTTTTTTTCTGCTTGCGCATGCCCCCTAGCGGTTGCGCGCGAGTAGAATCCAGCCGGGAATGTGTACAGCCATTGCCGGCTGTTACATACAACGTTCGGCCGGCTCTATAGCCGGCAGATCGCTTGTATGAGGATACACAGTGCCGCCCCGCCTCCTATGCCGCCGCATCCCTCCCCCCCCC